CTCTCTCTCTCTCTGTGAGCGAGAGACCAGTGCTCTCACACTCTGAAATGACTACCGTCGGCGGCAGTGCGCCTGCAGAGTCTTCAGAGGCTGCACTGTCTGAGCAATGTCGACTATTCCGGGAATTCAGTGTCGGTGGTGGTGGCAGTACCGCTGCCGCTGCTTCTCCACTGTATAGAGAATTGGGTGTAGGTGCTGCTGGTGCTGGTTCTAATGGTTCGGATGTGCAGCACAGTCAAACACTCTCACTGCCAACCGCCCTCACTCTTACGGTAAGATGAAGCTGCTGCACTACTACTACTTCTGCCGCCGCTGTTAGCTAGCTTGCTTCTTCTTCGCCAGGAGGAAAGAGTATAAGTGTGTGAGTGTGAGTGTGTGTGATTGACTGCCACTGAGACTGCCTATTTGACAATTTCGCACAGACTGACTCTTACGCTCTCTCTCCTTTCCTTTTCTTTCCTTTCCTTCTCTTCTAATGCTCTTCTGCCTGTCTGTCTGCACTGATTCATACAGACACAGACTACAGAGAGATAGATAGATAGAGGCAGACAGCAGACCAAAAGGGAAAGTGGAACAACTGAGAGATAGAGAAAGTGCTGAGCCTGGTTGAGTGCACTTGGATCATCATTACCCTCTCATCATCGTCATCACCATCATCGTCATCATCATCATCATTATCATTCAGTATTCTTAGTCGGACGCTGGGGAGTTCACCACCACCTCCGCTGGTTGAGTTCAGCGAGTGTACGAGTGGTGCGCGGGTGGTCACTGCCTTGCCCATCACCTTTATCATCCTCATCATCGATCGATGGGCACATACCTCCACTTTCCGCTGACACATGATCACCGCAAACAACAACAGCAGCACATTCTCGCTGTCCTCCACTACTGACACCAACAGCAGCAGCAGAACAGTTCTACAGTTCTCGCCTCTGCTGAATCGTGTTTGAGCATCACTTAAGGAGATCAGCAACTGAAGCTGCCACTTCTGCCGCTCGATATGCTGTTCTTGGGCATCACTACCACCACCACCACCACCAGAACCACTTTCCACCTTTACCATCACCAACATTACCATCATCTCCTCAGCACACCGTGTCGAGTGACGTTGGCAAACGGCGGTGAACTGCTGCCGCAATCATAAGCGGCAGTACGTCCACGACCACGACCACCACAACTACCACCACCGCTGATCATCATCCCCACCACCACCTCTACCGTGCATTCAGTCATTCTAGTCATCATTTACAATCACAGTTAGCAGAAGCATCATCATCAACAGTGCGACAACAACAACAGGACCATCAATAACAACAACAACACAACTGCACTTCTACTACTGCACCATCGTCATCATCCTCAAAGAGGAGAGTGCGGACACTACTAGCGAAAAGCAGCCAGGCAAAGAGCAGCCATCAGCATCACCCAAAGCCTGTACCGAAAGCGGGACAAAACTGAAAGTGCCACTGTTTTTGCTGCTGCTGCTGCTGCTGGTGTTGGTGTTGGTGTTGGTGTAAAGCTGCAGCCTCTGAACACAGTCTGAAGACACTCTGAAGGCACACACACTGTCCCGCATAGTTGCCGAAGTGTCAGTAGACGGACTAAAGCGGAGAGTGCTGCCGTCGCCTCGAGAATGCAGTGCACTTGCCGCCAACATCGGTGCCAGTCATCTATATTTAACCATTCTCAGCGGGTAATCTACTGCACCAGCGGCAGCAGTCATCTATTCGAGGAAGCGACTACCACGAACCACAGCAGGAGCTGTAGCTGAAGAAGAAGCAGAAGTAGAACTGCTTTCGGTAATCTCTCTCGTTTTCCTTCTCGCTGGCTGACTGACTGTATCGTTGCCGCCATCAGCAATAGCAGCAGCAGCATCAGCAACAGCTTCGGCGGTACGACCTGTCTCCCCTCATCAGCAGCGGCACTTTAAAACTGCAACAAGCGACTAACAAATAAACAGACAGTCAGTCAGGCAGACACTCGCCTGGGCAGAAGAAGAGGAAGAGGAGGAAGAAGAAGTGGAAGAAGTGTGGCATTTGGCACGAGACTGAATCTCTCTTGAACTTTGTCTGTCGGTGTGTCGTCTGCGGCGAAGAGAGAGAGGTGTGCTGTGAAGTTTCTGCCAGCACCACCAGCACTTCTTCAGACTCGCAGACGGACACGGTCTTTTTTCTCTCAACCGAATCTCTTTTCATACTCTATTTTCCCCACAACTACTCTTTCATAATTTCGAATCTAGTCCAGCACTACCATCACTACCACTATCATCTCATCAACTTCATCTCATCATCATCACTATCATCACCATCCCATCTCATCTCATCCTTTCCTAGCTCACTCACCAATTTTTCCCACTTATAAGACTATGGGCAGCACCTGCTCTTCGGTGAAAAAGTCTGCCACCTCCAAGGACGGCTCCAAGTCAAAGTAAGTGGTTCAAACGACTGTTTTCGATATTTTGCTAAACACTTTTCTTTTTATTTTGTTCCCCCCAGTGAACAGCGCAAAGAATCAGCCGAGAGTATACCTTATGGACAGAGCAGTAATCCTGAAGGAGGAGGAGGCGGTGATAAGGAGATCAAGACGGAAGCAGTCAGTACAGCGCAGACTGGCGATTCTCAATCACAGCCACCTCAATCAGCAGCACCCACCACGACTGTACAGCACANGTATTTTGCTAAACACTTTTCTTTTTATTTTGTTCCCCCCAGTGAACAGCGCAAAGAATCCGCCGAGAGTATACCTTATGGACAGAGCAGTAATCCTGAAGGAGGAGGAGGAGGCGGTGATAAGGAGATCAAGACGGGAGCAGTCAGTACAGCGCAGACTGGCGATCCTCAATCACAGCCACCTCAATCAGCAGCACCCACCACGACTGTACAGCACAGCGAACTAGGCGCCACCCTATCGAGCACCTCCTCCACCTCTACTACCCTTCCCCCTGCCAGCGCCACCTCGCCTCCTCCTCCTCAGTCGCTGTCGCCAGTGCCGCCCACCACCTCGCCCTCGCCCTACTCCAATGGCAGTGGCGGCGTGGGGGCGGCCGCCTCAGCCTACGAGAACATATCGCCCACCAAAGGCCACCTCAATCTCAGTGAATACTCGGCGGAGCTTCGCGCGGCCTCATTTACGCAGCTCTTTCACACTACCAGCTCGCTGGCCACCACCTCCTCCTCCACCACCACAGTTGATAACAGTAGTGGGGATGGAGGTGGTGGAGGGGACAGCGGAAGTGCCGCTGCCTCCCTCGACGACCTCTACGTCATTGCCCTCTCCACCGAATCAGATGAACTGGTCGTCTGGAGCATCTACGAGGACCGGGCGGTGCGCACGCTGAAGGGCATTCCCCGGCCTCGGGACCTGCACATGGTCGACTGCGGTGGGGAAGGTGGTGGCAGTGGCAGTGGGTGTCCCCTCAGGGCGGTGGTCCTCTGCAATCGCGAGCTGATGCTGTACGACCTGAACGGCGGCGCACTGCTCACCAAGCTGAAGGGCGTCATGAACCAGAAGATGCCCTACTACGGACTGCACAGTGAGCACTACGTGGTCGCCCTCTCCCGCAATCGAATGTACGTCAACATGATCAACCTGGGCACTGGGGTGAGTACAGTTTTGAATTGCTTTTTGGTTAACCCAATTCGACTGAATTTTTCAATTTACCTAGGACTTGGAGACGACGTTCAAGGCGGGCGAGGACCGCTTCCTCAACAGTCTGCTCACCTCTGCCAATGGGAAGATCTGCGTGTGCGGCGACGAGACGCAGAAGCCCTTTCCGCTGCTCGTCTGGGACCTGTCAGCAAGAAAGCTGCAGTACGACCTGCGAATACCTCATCACGAGTTTCTCACCCGCCTCTCCGCCATCAGCAATGACGGCCACTACGTGGTCTCTGTCTGTCAGGTAGTGAGATTATTTTATTGAATGAAACAGTGTCTGTGAACCTGAATGCTAACATTTACTGTGCTTACCACTGTAGGAGTGCAACAGCTCGGCGCCCAACTTTCTCATCGTCTACGATCTGCAGAGTGGCACTCTCTTTAAAAAGTGGAAACCGGAGTCGAACTCCGTCTCGGTGGCTATCTCCACCCGTTGCGGCGGCAGTGTCATGAACGGCACCGCCAACCACGACGTTCTAGTCTGGGACCTCTCCACCGGCAATATCAAGTAAGTCATTTAAAAAACTGTTGAACCCCTTCTAAAGATCTCACTCAAATCTTTGCCAATAGATATACACTTTCTGGTCATACGGCGCCGCCTGATTTGCTGCACGCGGCGGAGAAGGCCAACGCCTTCCTTTCCTACAACTCCACCCGAGCTGATCCTCAGCTGCGCGTCTGGTCGCTGGAGCAAGGTATGTTTTTTTCTGAGCTAAACTTGAATTTGGTCTAATTCTTGTTCATCATTCCCATCACTCCCTCCCCTAGGCACCTGTTTATGGACGTACAATCCACTGAAGGAGCTAAGTTGTTGCTGTCTGACGCCCAACGGCCTCGCCATCGTCTACGGCTGCGTGGGCGAGAAACGCCTCCACCTGGCGGTGCGCACCGACGAGGCAAAGAGCGAGGCGGAGAATGAGCAGTTCAAGGTGGACTACCTCGCGAGGATGCGCTCCAAGTTGGTGCCCTTTGGCGATGAACGCCTCCTCGGCAGCGTCACTGATCTCAAGACGTCGTCCTAGTGTGCCTCAAGAGGACAGGCGACAAAACGACACTCAACTCATAAACTACCACCACTGCAACAGCTTTACTGCTCCGTTCTCATCATCTCTTCTCCTTGCAATGAAAAACAGCAGCCGAAGACATCAAGGGCCGGCCAGCAAAAACAGTGGACACTACAGCATTGTGTGCACAGGAAAAGATAAAGAAGAAGTCCACCAAAGTCTTTGGCCACCAACTCCACTGTGCACGCGCGCGCGACACCAGCCAAAGACTTAGTATTTTTTGTAATCAATTATGTATTGATACTAATGATGTGAATACTATTTATTCAAATCAATAAAAAATGCCGATTTGATGTCGACTGCCCAGTTTTATCATCTCGACAAAAAATGTTAGATTTTTAGAATTTTTCAAACTCGAGTTGAGCACTTTATCATGCTGAAAGATGTCGCATTGATCGCGCTGCCAGCATCAGTTGTCAGCTCACTCACTGCTGAAACACGCTGCCTCTTCACTCGCTGTGCTCGTCGTGTTTACGTTTTCACTCTCTGACAATCAGTGAAAGATGAATGAATTGATAGGAAAATTCGGGTACCAAGTGGTCATTTCGGTGAGAATAAATTCCCCCTCCGGAATGACTTCCTCCTCCTCCTCATCGACGACAATACTGGATGTTCCTGAGGTGCCGATGCTTAAAATATTCGCCTACATTCCACTGCCTAATCTGCTGCGCATTGACGAGGTGTGTCGCGCCTGGGGAAAGCTAAAAACCGAAGCCTTACTTCAACGACAAATGCTCATCGTCATCAACAAGGAGGACGATTTGGGTTTAATGGATGTGCCCAGGTTCACTCCCACTCTGCTTCAAGTGGTGACAAACGACGACGGCGATTCGATCTACAAAATGCAAGAGCGTATCGATCGACACGCTCTGTACTTCACTGCGATCACGCCCAAACTCGCGGACAAAGTGATGCAGTTGTTGCCCAACTTGAAGGTACTGCACTTAAACACACAAAATGGCAGCCCCACCGAACTCTGGAAAATGAAGCTCCTGCTGCACCACTATCGCCACCAGCTCACAGAGGTGAACATCGAGTTCGTTGCCACCGGAGACAATTTAGTAAACTTGCAGCGGCTTCGAGCTGACTACCAATTCATGTTCCCTTCAGTCTTTCGCACGCTAAACAACATGACGGCACTGACCATTTTGGAGCTGACCCTTGTCCTTCGAGATGGCTTAGGGGTGCCAATTGAAGTAAATCTGAGCGTGGCAAGCCGACTGGCGAAACTGACCGTGTACACCGAGGGCTTCACTGGCTCCTCAGTCGACGTCGATGTGCTGAAGCCCACCTATGAGCAGTACGCCGAGGGAAATGAGGCGTTGCAGGCGCTGAACGGCATGAATCTAATTTACCTGGACACACTGCTCGCCTTCGGGCCCAGGGTGACTGCTGCTCTGAGGCAGGCACGACTGTCTGATACTGTTGACCGCGACAACTATGAAAAGCTCAAAGCGTTTGCTCGTAAATTTCCTCTCATAGAGCTGATGACGATAGATCTTTTGTCGGAGCTGACGATTGCCGAGGTGGCCGAAGCGCTGGTCNGAGGCAGGCACGACTGTCTGATACTGTTGACCGCGACAGCTATGAAAAGCTCAAAACGTTTGCTCGTAAATTTCCTCTCATGGAGCTGCTGACGATAAATCTTCTGTCGGGGCTGACAATTGCAGAGGTGGCCGAGGCGCTGGTTCCTTGCAAAGGCTTAGTTAGTCTTACCCTCAATCTGAACTTTGACCAAAAGCAGCCCATGGCGGTACCGGTGAAGAATGACTTGCCGAAGGACAAGAAATTGCCAGTTTTGCCCAGTGTGAAGTCGTTGTGGTAAGTTGCAACCAATACACTGCTTTGTTTGTTTTTCTCAACCATCATCCGCCGAAGTAGTTGCCAACTGAATCCTAATCACTGACCTTCTTTTCTTGTTTCTCTCGCCACACACCACTTTACCTAGCTTTTCCATCAACACCACCAGTCATCGGAACTTGGAGCAGTTGAACCTGAACCTCATCTTTCCCAATGTGCAGGGGGTAGAGCTAGTTCATACGATGAACCGGTGCACTACCTGCAATTTTCAAATTCCCGAAAGAGTTGCAGAAATGCCTGCAGAGAATCAGGCTGCCCTTGGTCGCCGAGTTCACCATTGTATGCGCCTGACTCGAGCTTACTTTTCTCGTTTTGCCAAACTTCTCGTCGTTAAAGCAAACTCTGGTGTGCCGCAACTTAGCTCATCTTACCTTATAGATGACTACTTTACCCCTGCGACTCTAGACAGAGAGACGTTTTTAAATTGATTTTAAATATACGCACCAATTGCCCATAACTGGGCTAATCTTTCTTTAACATTGCATAACAACCTGTTGATTGCGGATCAATCAGAGACCAAGTCTGCGTTTTACTGTTTCCTCATTAGTTTAAATTAGGGTAAAGCTAATTAGGTGGTGTCGGTGAGACAGTGAGTGGTAAAATTCTTGTTAATTAATTTGTTTATTCTATTCTTTTTGCAAAGCGACGATAACACTTGTAGCAAAGTTAGTTTTAGTTTAGTGTTTCACTACTTCAGCCATCACTTAGCCTTTCACTTTTAGTGACAAGTATCATTTTTAGAAAAATTGCATCGTTAATTGTGTGTGTGCCTAAAGTGTTTCTACTGAAAGGGTTCCTTTTAAATGCACCCTTAAAGCTTCTCGAAAGCACTTTCAGCTATAAAGTTCTCCGCTGTACTAGGAAATGTAACACGTGGGGGACCACTTTTCTTTGAAACTAAAGAGCATTTGAGAATCTTCAAAGTGATTGCCTTTACAGCCTCTACAGTCTCTACAAATCATTCCTGACCTTTTCTGACTGTCACTGAGTGGTCTTTTAGCTAGCTTCCTTCCCTCAACTACCCTCAACTCACTGGAGCAGCAACAGTTCACTTTCCCTTCGCCCTAAAAACTGCATTTAGGCAGAATTTGCCAACAGACAACAGTGTCTCTGCAGTGTCCTCTTTTTTCCCTCCATCTCTCTCTCTTTCTCTCTCAATGAGCTCTCATCGAGCACCGCTGGCGCAGTACATCGCGGAGAGAGAGAGAGAGAGAGAGAGAGAGAGAGAGAGAGAGAGAGAGAGAGAGTGCCTGGTTGCCAGTTTGCCATTTCGCTGCTCCTACTACTCTTCTTCTACTCTTCTGCTCTGCTCTCATTAGCGTCACTGGGAAACTCCATTTGTTTGCTGGTTCACATCGTCTCCAACGATTCTACCCTCATCCACTGTTTCAGCAAAGAGAGAGACAAAGAATCAGTGAGGCACAGACAACCGCCAGGCAGTCTTTTTTGGTGGCAAGACCACACTTGTCCTCTAACATTTCATGCCAAACTCGTCACTTTCTCCCTTTTCACCTGATTGTTTTGCCTAGTTTTACGCTGTGTCTGTCTGCCTGTGTTTCCATTTCCCTTGCCGTCCCAGTATCAACAGGTGTCAATGGAGAGCCCAAAGAAAAAGTTCGCTTCTAAAGAAGTGAAAAATGCTTCCACCAGCAAAACTTCTTCCGCCGTCTCTTCTTCCGCCGCCTCTTCCTCCATGCCTTCTACCTCTTTGTCAGTGTCCACTTTATCCTCTGTCTCTTTTACTGGACCAAAGATACTCTCCGATTCGACTGAATTTCGCCCGCCCGTTCCAAGCCTCCTTGACTCCATGCCTCTGAGCAAAATGTTGCAAATTGACCGGGAATACCCTAGCTGGAGCGATCTAAAGACTGCGGCTCTACGTCGACGACGACAGCTCATCATTGCTGACAGTGAATGCGAGTGGTTCATTCTGCCTATCATCAGCTCTAAAATGCTTACTCTGGTAGAGAACGACGACGACAATTCTCCTTTCTACGAGTTTGCCAAAATCAACGTCGATCAACATGCTCTGTACTGCGATAAGATGACGCCTGAGATGGTGAGCAAGGTCACCCAGTCGTTGCCCAGTCTGACCGTACTGCGCATTGACCAATGGGGCACTCCCACTGAGCTGCGACTAATCAATCAGCTGCTAAAGCACTACGCCCACCAGCTCGAGGAAGTGAACGTCAAGTTCATGCATGACGAAACACGAAAAACACCTGGTCAGATTAACAAGGAAGAGATGCAAATAGACGTTCAGAGAGCTTTTACTTCGCTGTTCGACACTCTGAACCAAATGACGGCTCTGAAGACTTTGATGCTGGACCTCAGCGCAGGTGGTTTGCAGATTCCTATTGAAATCGATCTGAGCGTTGCCAGACAACTGAAGGTGCTGTACGTGGAGACGGACAACTTTAATGGCACCATTTTTGACCCAGACATTGACTTGCTGAAGGCCATCTACGAGGAGCACTGTGAAGGAAATGAAGCGCTGCAGGCGCTGTACTGCTCCAATCAGATGACCCTCAGCACTTTGCTTTCCTTCGGGCCTCGTGTGAAGGCCGCTCTGAGAATGGTGAAGATCGCCGATGAGGACGAAGGTGGCCGACTTGCAGATTTCCACCAGTTTGCTCAGCAGTGTCCGCATGTGGAGAATCTGTGCATCAGCGAAACTGTTCTAAGCAATGTGGCGCAGATGGCCGAGGCCCTGGTCCCTTGCAAGTCCCTAGTTCATCTTTCTCTCTGTTTGAATCTGGCGAATGGCATTTTGAATCCGGTCAAGAAAGGACAACTCCTTCCAGTGCTGCCCAGTGTGAAGTCACTGCGGTAACTTGTTAAAATCGTTTACTGCTTTTGTGTTTTTCTAATTGTTTACCTTTTTACAGCCTCTTTCTAATGGCCACTGAGAGCCATAACAGTTTAAAGAAACTGAAACTGGACGTCATCTTTCCCAACTTGCAGGTGATGGAAATTAGACATCGCTTTAAAAGCTGCACCAAATGCAACTTTTATGTTCCAAATGAGATTCAGGAACTAAGTGCTGAACTGCATACCGTCTACAGTACCCAAGTTCACGAGTGTGCGCGCTGGACTCG